CAGACAAGTGGCTGTCCAGTCTCTTCTTAAAAACCTGCAGTGATGGAGAATCTACAGCTTCTGAAGGCAAACCGTTCATTCCACTGGTTAATTGTTCTCACTGCCAGGAAATTTCTCCTTAGTTCTAGGCTGGCTCTCTCTTTGATTATTTTCTGTCGGTTATTTCTTGAGGGCAGCTAAGCCTCAGGTGCTCTGGGGAATAGGTCAACCCCTTTTTCTCTGTGACAGGCCCTCAGATATTGGAATCCTGCTATCTTGTCCCCCCCACCCCCTTAGTCTTTCCCTTCATTAAACTAGACCTTCTACGCCAGTGGTTCTCAACCTTTTTAATGCCGCGACCCCAACCAGTCGTAAGTCGAGGACTAAACCGGTCGTAAGTCGAGAACTAAACCGGTCGTAAGTCGAGGACTACCCAACTGGTCATAAGTCGAGGACTTTCCCTGCCCAGAAGCACCGCGCATGCGTGGTTCCGCCCCCTGCGCCGGCCGAGGCATAGCTGGCAAGTGACAGAGATGGAGCAGGCTGACCACCAGCTGGCCCAGCCCAAGGGAGGTAAGGCACCCGCCGGAAAAGGGGGAAAAATGGCAGACAAAAAAAATGGCAGACAAAAAAATAGCAGACAGCCTTGCTTGGCGACCCCCATGAAATGGTCGATCGACCCCAAATGGGGTCCCGACCCACAGGTTGAGAACCACTGTTCTACGCCATCCTTCACTCCCTGCAGGATAGTAGCAGGGGGGAAAAGGTAGAAATTAATCATAAGGTTTTTTTAAGGCAAGTAAAAACAAATATATAACAAACCCCACTCGCTGTTATGTGAAATGCTGCTGCTACACTCTCGAGGTCAGTTTTTTCCTTTTTCATGCACAGTTCATTTCCCAATGTGACAGAGTCAGAAAGAACATGGGTACGTCTTGCCATATTGCAGCTTAGCAGTTTTTTTTTCGAGGGCAGCAGATTCTGTCACTTTATTGGCAAGATTTGTTTTCTCTAATGAATTTTCACTGAACAGATTTGCCAACTATTTTTCACCATCGCAGTGACACGAGCCCCTAAAGCAAAATTATTATTTTTTTACATTTTTTATCACTGGGGCAATTTGTCAGTTTCGCTTCCTGGAACCCTTGAATATTTTTTTTCCTGATGAGAATGATTTGCTTATTTAAAAGGCATCGTTCCCGTGGATTCAGCTTGATTCCTGGTTGTCCCAAGGTGTTTTTCAAAGGCAAATTGGACTTCCTTCTTTTTTTTCTTGAAAACCTTTCACTTCTCATCCAAAAAAACTTCTTCAGTTCTGACTGCATGATGGGAAATGGTTGATTCCTGGTGATTTCGTAGACCTAATCCATTCTCTTGTAAGTTTTGTATGATTTGCTCATATGTTTTCTCTTATTGTTTTTATTGTGTGGTTAGCCATCAAGAGTCCAATTTTCAAGAAAAGTAGCCTATGCTAAATAATAAATCTATATCTATATATAAATAAAAATGTAAATGTTCGTTTGTTCAAAATCTTAAATCTCCGAAAGTTCTTCACTGATTGCTTTGAAATTTTGACACAACGTTGCATTCGAATACGTGCGTGTTTTTATATACCTATATTATATAGATGTCACACCTGTGACAGGTAAAACATGCTTTTTTTGAAAAACAGCACCATCTGTTGGACGTAAAAGCAACACATGCTACGATTTTACGATTCCATTTCAATGTTTCCGATTTACGATCCATTTACAATTTCCAAATTTCCAATTTTACGATTCCATTTCAATGTTTCCGATTGCATTGTTAAATTGAATTTTCATATATTTTGATTTATTTTCATTTTGATTTAATTATTTCGTGTGACATTGCGTTGGAATTGATGCACAGACAATGGAACAACAAAAAATATTGTATACCCGCAGGCATTGTGAAATTAAACATATTAGAAACCTGCGCTTTCTCTTTTCTTTCTTTTCCATTTAACCAGACTAAGCCACAGCAACGCGTGGCCGGGTACAGCTAGTTACTTTAATAAATACAACAGTATGGCTTTATTGAAATAATGCTGATCTGGGCTGGTATTGCCTTCTCCTGCAATGGTATGTGGTTGATCGATTATATATTTATTTCCCAGCCTAGCTGCTCTGTTTTTTTCCCCCCAAGAATTGAGAAAGTCAGTTAGGTGCTGAGCAATTGCAAAATAGAAGCCACCAGTTACACAACAATGTCACTTTAAATAAAAATCAAGATAGGTTTGTGCATCTAAAAGTTTTAATTAAATTTGAGTATCGTGGTTTTGATGTTCTATTCTGGGCCTATATTTTGCTGTGACATAAATCAGCTAGATCTGAGGCATAACCATTCTGGCAGATGGTGCTAGCACAGTGTCATTTTTAAAAAAACGTCCAAAGATCAAGGGACACAAAGTAATATTTTCTTTTAACAAAAGAAGCTGTGCATATTATTGTTTTTTTATGGGAAACTAAAATTAATATTGAAATAAAAGTATATTCTTTGGTCTCCCTTAACAGGTAATAGAAGGAAAAATCTTCTTCAAAATATCTCAACTCCCAGTGACTATGACATGTCACACCTATGCACTGTTCTTGGCATCAACAATGGAAGCAGTCTGACTCCATCTTCTTTTGCTAATTTTCCTCAGCTTCTCACTTAACCTTCAGTTCTAGGATTCTCTGGTGTAATGATGTAATCTAGTTGATTTGGTCCAGGCTGTAAAGACCAATTTTGCACACCTTGAGGGCAGCTAAGCCAAATTTCTGCTTTCCAGGAAAATCTGCAGTTTATTTGACAAAGACAAGATTTTGTATGCACAAGGACAGGATTGCATACTAGCCATTTGAGGCAGCCATTTTGCCCAGGTACAGTATAGTAGGTTATTGTATCTCTTTTTTCCTGGGTTTACACAATATGTTGAACTAATCAAATAAGCTGGGTTTTGCACCAGAGGTTAAAGTACCATATTAAAAAAAAAACCTAGTCAAAGCTATTTCAGCTTTGTAATGTGCTGGAAATATATCTACTAGATCTTGAACTGACCTAATTAAAAATGTAATATGGACACAGCTTTAGAGCTGATGTAATATTCAGCCTTTTCAGTCTGTTTCAGTATTTGATCCTTGATCTTAGCTGCTGTAATGTTGAATATGTACTTTCACAAGGATATGTTATGTATTTTTGTTCATATGTCAATGAAAGCTCATAAAAGAGAAAAGGCAATCTGAAGGAAAAGTCACTAGAACCGTCAGCACCATTTTTCTTAAAGCTCATATTCTCTGTGTATGTGTGTGTTTGTGTGTGTGTGTGTATGCGTATGTTAATTTTTGTGTTTGATGATAGATCTGCCATCCTCATTACTTCCCTCACAGATGCATACTTGAATGGATCAACTCACGGACACAACTCTTGAATCTCAGAACTAGCCAGCAGAAGATGTTCAGCTTGTTCAGAGAACATTGTGGTTCCATAAAACATATTTCAGGAACTACACTATCCCTTGTACTCATCCGGAGTTCTTTTAAATTGACACAAGTTTTGAGCTTGGCACAATAGCTGACTAGGGAATTATGGGAGTTGAAGTCCATACATCTTCAAGTTGCCAAGGTTGAGAAATACTGGTCTAGGCCAGACATGTCAAACTTGTGACATCACGTGACATATCGGAACTTTTTCCCCATTGCCAGCAATGGGGTGGGCACAGTTTCCTCGTCACGCATCCGGCCCGCAGACCCGCAGTTTGACACCCCTGGTCTAGGCCATTACAGCTGGAACTAGTTTAGATGCACATTTTATAGTTAGATTCCCTATATTATCAGAAACAGAACAGATAGTCCTACCAAATATTGCTAGAACAAGAACTGAAATTCAAAACATCTGCAAGACAGAGTGCCTGTTCCTTTATACTACTCATGTCTGCTGGTCCAAGTGGATTGAGCAGAATTGGCACAGCATTAAAGACTGCCAGCTGCTGGGGACATCCTATCTTTGGAGATCAGAATGGCCCCAATCCTGTTAGTCTTTCATCAGCTCCTAAAAACCTGGCTATGTTCCAGTGCCTGGGATGCTGAATGTATCAAGGGCCCCATTTCCTGGCTGTATTGTTAACTGGCCAAGTGTCTTGCTCCTATGTATATTTCATCTGGATGTTTTTTATTCTTTTAAAATGTTTTCATAGTTTTGGCTGTACTATATTTTTTTGAATTGTAAGCTGTTCAGAGTTATTGAGTGAGATAGGCAGTGACTGAAATTTCTAAATGTAAATATTTAGTTCATCATGTAGTTCATCATGTAGCCGAAAAGGAAGGTAGCTGTAAACATGTGGGAGATGCAAAGTTTGCAAAAGTTCAAAAATAATAGTATAACAGCATATAATGATAGTAGCTGTGGGGGGGAAATGGAAATTTGGGAGGGTATAAACATAACTGAATGAAATAGACCAGAAAAAAACCCCAGATCTGAACAGGAATATTATATATACAAGCTTCTTGTTACAAGATCCACTTACTAGTACTATAATTTATGTAAAAAGGCAAAATCAGAAAATATGGACTATTATCCAGATCTGCGCTGCAAATCCCTCTATTTCCATAGTTAATCATATAATTCTTCAATCGTGCCAGAATGATAGAAATATAAGTTCAATTTTTTAGTGCAAATACAAAAATGAATAATAAATATGTGACAATTTACAATAATATTAAAACCTCTAGCATTCATACCCACTATGAACTTGTTCAGATAGGATTTAAACTGGTTCACTCACAAGATCAGGGGTCTACAAACTTTAAGACCTGTGGACTTCAACTCCAGAATTCCTCAACCAGCCGTGATGGCTGAGGAATTCTGGGAGTTGAAGTCCACAGGTCTTAAAAGTGCCAAGTTTGAAGACTCCTGCACAAGACCCCTCATTTTAGAGACCCATTGCCTTGTCTTACCAGGGTCCAGGTTGTACCTGGAAGAGAACAGAATCATGTAATCCCTTCAGGACAGTTTTCACTTACTGCTGACATGATGAACTCCCCACCTAAGTTCTGGATTTCAGCTTTGACTTGGCTGCAGATTTTGAGTTGATGGGAGTAGAGCTTGATCTGTTCCAAGTAAGCGAGTAAGTCTTGCTTACATGACCAATCTGGACACTAAAAAATAAAAGCAAAAAAGCATAGTAGTTTGATTGGGCTAACTATTTTTAACATCGGGGATCCAAAAGAAAAGTGAACTAAGAGAGTGCAATAACATTTTTTCCCCCAATTTCCTTCCCTTTTTTCATTTTTAAACAGATACCCATACCATTTAAACTGATTTCAGAAGAAGCTCTTACGCGTTTCAAAAATGGTTTCTAGATGCTTGGAGGGAAAGGTCAGGGAAATGAAATGAAAACAAAATATTCCTCGAGGTGAGCAAATGTCTTTTGGATTTTGGCCATCTCACCATCTTGTTTACGACCGCTGTCTTTCCTTCAGGCATCTCAGTTTTCTTATGCTCCTTATCAAAATTTATGTAACAAAGCATTGCTTGCTCGAACTCAGATTCTGGTAAGCATCATAAATTTACAGTTACTTTTTTGTGCTGCTGCCAGTTTACTTATTTGATCGCATTATGCTGTTTTTGCAAGAGGTACATAATAATGAACTCCATGTTGTTTTATGCATCTAATACCTACAGTATGTGGTGGTGATGGTGTTGTTTCAACTTTATTTTTATGTATGGAACAACAAACACAAATGTCCCCTTCAGGAATAAAATATTATGGAGCTGAATAATCACCCATACTTGTCATTCTGAAAAAAAAAATATGAATAGTATCTTCAGTCTGTGCTCTCCTATTTCAGTGAGTGAGCTTCTGTGACCTGAATATGAAAAAGACAGCTGACGGCACTTTCACATGTAGCTGCTTCCACTACTCAGTCTCTCCAACAGTTTGAAACTGACCCTCCATTGTTTTCGGTTCTGCTGAAGTCAAACAGAAAACAAGGAGGGATCAACATGAGGCCCTCAGTACTTCCTCCAGGTGACCAGTGAAAAATTGTAAAATTAAAGAAATCAGCAAGTCATCGCAGGAAAATATCAAAGGCAACTTTCCTTCATTCACAGCTATAATAATAATAATAATAATAATAATAATAATAATAATAATAATAATAATAATAATAATAATAATAATAATAATAATAATAATAATAATAATAATAAAGTTGGAAGGGACCTTGGAGGTCATCTAGTCCAACCTCCTCCTCAGGCAGGAAACCCTTTACCATTTCAGACAAATGGCTGTCCTGTCTCATCTTAAAAACGTCCAGTGTTGGAGCATTCACAGCTTCTGGAGGCAGGTTGTTCCACTGATTAATTGTTCTAACTGTCAGGAAATTTCTCCTTAGTTCTAGGTTGCTTCTGTCTTTGGTTAGTTTCCATCCGTTGCTTCTTGTCCTGCCTTCAGGTGCTTTGGGGACTAGCTTGACTCCCTCTTCTTTGTAGCGCCCCCCGAGATATTGGAACACTGCTATCATGGCACCCCTAGTCCTTCTCCTCATTAACTAGACCAGGGGTCTTCAAACTTGTCCCTTTTATGAGTTGTGGACTTCAACTCCCAGAATTCCTCAGCCAGTCATACCCAATTCCAGCAACCGTTCCTTATATGTTTTAGCCTCCATTCCCCTGATCATCTTTGTTGCTCTTCTCTGTACTCTTTCTAGTCTCAACATCTTTTTTACATCTTTTTTACATTCCTTGTAAATATTATGATCCTCTACCCAGACTGAAAGATCCTTAATAAAGAGACATGCAGCATGCAGCTATTTTGAGAAAAATCATATTTGTCCAATTACTTCCTTCATTTTCCCTCATTAGTAATTATGCAGAACTAAAAATTGTTCATGTCACTAAAACATTGTACATGTTTTTACAGTAATACACTCCATTGAATTAAGAGGCTTTGCCCCAAGTAATTTTTTTTGCATCCCCAACAATGGACGTAAAATACTTTATCTTTGTTTCCTTCATTTTTCAGAAAAGAAACATACACTTAGCCTATTCCTTTGTGTGTGTGTGTGTGTATCTTTATGTCTCTATGTGGCTTTGAGTCTGTGTTGACTTCTGACAACTACCTGGACTGGTCCCTGCAGTTTTCTTTGTCAGGTTTTTCAGAAGTGATTTGCCATTGCCTGCTTCCTAGGGCTGAGATGGAATGACTGGCCAAGGTCACTTAGCTGGGTCTGTGCCTAAAGCAGGACTAGAACTCACAGACTCCTGGTTTCCAGCCTGGAGCGTTAATCATGCACTTAACTCTCATAGCCTATTCTTAGATCGCTACAAGCATCCTATTCTCTGGATAAGGTGAGATCCATCTTCAGTGACATAATATTCAACACAGAAGTAATGAAATAGCAGGAATTCAAAAAGAGATCTCAGTGTTCTTCTACAATGAATAACAGAAGCAGGCGCTAAGAATTTTAAATGGATTATGGTGATTGGAATCTATAACTACTAAAACCTGTCTATTTGTAACCTTCAATTAGTCGAAATGGTATGTCCTAGGTCTACGACAATTATTTTTGAATCAAGGCAGTTCAAATCTGCTAGCTTGCAGAATGTGCAGAAAATCCAGGAGCCACTAATTCCGTGTAATTGAAATTTCAAGGATCTTCACACCAGTTGTATTTGCAAATTTGTGACTGCTGCAGCCCCGCAAAAGTCAGCTATGGTCACAGGATCATGATTTCCAATGCTCCCTGCCCGTTTCCCACAAGCAAAGCCAATGGGAAGCTAGCAGGAAGTCAGATCCAGTCCCACTGCTTTTTTTGCCCCTGGCTGGAGTTATCCTATTAATCTCTTCAGGTAAGGAAATATTGACAAAAGAAGACCTAACAGATCACAGGTTGTCTGGTTGGAAGTGAGAAATGGTATTATCATTTAACACTTTGCAATAAATAAGAGAAAATTTGCTACATATTTATAACTCAAAATGTTAAACATAAAAATGAATAATAATAGAAAATCCCTCTAACTGTATTTATTTATTTAAGAAAAAAATTATGGCTGCTCACTTCACTCTCATAGTGACAATGGGCAGCTTACAAGGATATACTGTATTAAGTAAATCTTCAGTTTCACCTCAGCAATTTTCCAAGGAAAGATAATTATTTCCCTCATTCTACTGATTTCAGAATTTGCACGACTAAAATTCACGTTCATAATCCAATACAGAGCAAAATATGAAAACAAAGCAATAGTAATCTAGATGAATTTGACTGCGGCACCGATTTCAGTGGGGTCTCTGTGGGGTCTTTATCTGTTACATAACAGATAAAGTGGAACTGAATTTATATTATTCTAAACAGCCAGACAACTATCTTTATTGCCCTGATTATACTTATCAAGATCATATTACTGTAATTTTTGTCTCAATCACCTTAACATATTTTAAATCTTTTTATGGTAATTTACTGATATGAACTAAGACAGAATCCTAATAAAAATAATGTCTTAATTAGAATTTGCTTTTCAGTTTTCTGACTTGTACAGTTTTGCAGCATAAGCATAAAATGGATTTTTATAACACTGTGTGATCAGCTTTTTTTCCCAAAGTGATTTCTAGTTAACATTAAGGAAGACTGTTTGATGTTTCTTCAACAGGTACTAATGTGTGAAAGTTTTCTTTCTAAGTACATAATTGAGTTGGGGGGATGGGGGGGGGGAAAGTGAGAAAATATTTCATGCAAAGTTTCCAGTGAGGGAAAATAAGGTAGCTGCATTGGGATCCATGTAAATTACTGAATTGAAAGACAAGCCACACCATAACCGACTGGATTTGCAATTCATTGCAAGCTGTTCCCTATGGAGGAGAAACATCTATGTGGATCTCAACAACCACTTTCCAGAACGTCAAGAACTGCATCCAGTTTTGTTCACCACGATGTAAAAAAGATGTTGAGACTCTAGAAAGAGTACAGAGAAAAGCAACAAAGATGATCAGGGGACTGGAGGCTAAAAAATATAAGGAACGGTTGCTGGAATTGGGTATGTCTAGTTTAATGAAGAAAAGGATGAGGGGGGACATGATAGCAGTCTTCCAATATCTCAGGGATTGTCATAAGGAAGAGGGAATCAAGCTATTCTCCAAAGAGCTTGAAGGCAGGACAAGAAGCAAAGGATGGAAACTAACCAAGGAGAGAAGCAACCTAGAACTAAGGAGAAACTTCCTGACAGTGAGAACAATTAACCAGTGGAACAACCTGCCTCCAGAAGCGGTGACTGCTCCAACACTGGAAGTTTTTAAGAAGAGACTGGACAGCCATTTGCCTGAAATGGTATCGGGTTTATTGCATGAGCAGGGGGTTGGACTAGAAGACCTCCAAGGTCCCTTCCAACTTTGTTGTTGTTTTTGTTGTTGTTAATAATAATAATAATAATAATAATAATAATAATAATAATAATAATAATAATAATAATCAGGAGACAGAAAGAATAATAGGAAATCAACCTTCCCCGTCCCGCCTTAGGCATGAAAAATGTCTGGGTGACTCTGGGCCAATCACCAGGAGACAATGAGTAATGTGCTCTGGCATCAAATTTCCTCCTGGCACAAATGGTGTATGATGAAAAGAACAAGAGATGAGAATTATATTTAAAGTAAAATAATAGCTGGCTGAGGAATTCTGGGAGTTGAAGTCCACAGGTCTTAAAGTTGCCAAGGTTGAGGACCTCTATAATAAAACATAGGTACTATAGGAAGATAGTCCCTAGTGCAATCAATCTTGCTTCCCTCCACAAGAAAAGAGACAGGAAAAGCAGCAGGGAAATATAAAACAATTATGCATGTCAGACCAAGCTGTGTGAGTTCTCCCAGAGCTGGCCAGCAGAACACAATGCTTCAGAGATGGAAATTGGATAACAAAATACAGCTTTGAGGCATGAAAGAAGGGAGGTTTATGTATAATTTTGCTAACTATTGGAACGTTTGTATCTTGCCCTTCAATCAAGGTAATCATGAGCCTTTATTAGCCTAAGGAAAAGGACAAAGAGTTTATTAGTGTAATTATTCTTCATTTTAGTGTCTTTTGGCTATAATAACAACAATTCAGAGAGGAAGAACTGAAATAGCAAAGGGCTCTGGTGTTTTCTCAATGAAAACAAGGCCTGTGGCTATTCTTCCAAATGTCTTACTTCCTTGGGTGGTGAAAAGCAGTGGCGGGATTCAGCCAGTTCGCACCACTTCAGCAGAACCGGTAGCTAATTTTTTATTGCCCAGGCCCAGAATGGACTTCCAGAAGCGGCATCCACACAGAGAACCGGTTGTTCACATATTTGAATCCCACCACTGGTGAAAAGCATCTAAGAATATAATCAAAACAAGAAATTGGCAGTATAATTTGAATGTAGAATAAACATTGATTTCCAATGTATTTTAAGTCAGGGGGTCCCCAACCTTGGCCACTTGATGACTTGTGGACTTCAACTCCCAGAATTCCTCAGCCAGAGTGCCTGGCTGAGGAATTCTGGGAGTTGAAGTTCACAAGTCATAAAAGGGCCAAGTTTGAAGACCTCTGCTCCAAGCAAATGACAACTTTATAGTGAAATTATTTCACTAATCATTTCAATTGGAAAACAGTGGGAATATTAGAAGAAGCCAGACTGAAAAATGCAGGAGGATTTTAGCAGGAGACTTCAACCAAGCATTGACCAACAGACTCATACACTTACTTTCTTAGAGATGGCCCTACCAAAAGGCATAACCAAAGACCCAGCTTGAGTTCCTCAGTTCAACATACCACATTCTCCCCTTGATGCAACAATCCACCAATTCTACAATCACGGGAAAAGAATACCACCCATCAGATATCAATATTAGCCATCACAGAGAAGGCAGCCAGTGCAAAGATAGAACCACCATCTCAGCAGCTGAATAAATAATCTACCAATAACTATGTATCAGTCACATTGCAAAGCAACATCTGCTCACATAATCACTTATCCAAGTATGTTCAAAGCAGGCAAGAAAGAAGACTATAAAATCCCCACATCTGCAAAAACTCCTGCATTGATGATGTCACCTAGAAGATTAATGAAACATCTGCAATCCTTAGATCAAGCTTGGAGAACTATAACAACAATAATAATAAAGTTGGAAGGGATCTTGGAGATCATCTAGTCCAACCCCCTGCTCAGGCAGGAAACCCTATACCATTTCAGACAAATGGCTGTCCAGTCTCTTCTTTAAAAACTTCCAGTGTTGGAGCATTCACAGCTTCTGGAGGCAGGTTGTTCCACTGGTTAATTGTTCTAACTTCTAAGGAAGTTTCTCCTTAGTTCAAGATTGCTTCTCTCCTTGATTAGTTTCCATCCGTTGCTTCTTGTCCTGCCTTCCGGCGCTTTGGAGAATAGCTTGACTCCCTCTTCTTTGTGGCAGCCCCTGAGGTATTGGAAGACTGCTATCATGTCCCCCCTCGTCCTTCTCTTCGTTAAACTAGACATACCCAATTCCAACAACCGTTCCTTATATGTTTTAGCCTCCAGTCCCCTGATCATCTTTGTTGCTCTTCTCTGTACTCTTTCTAGAGTCTCAACATCTTTTTTACATCGTGGTGACCAAAACTGGATGCAGTATTCCAACTCTAACAATGCAACAAGTCAATTCTGAGCTACACATTCAAATCCCATGACAGTAATGAATCTGTCTGAGTCAGGTTTCTTTAAACCAGGGGTGTCAAACTGCCAGCCCATGGGCCAGTTGCATCATGCAGAGGCCGTGCCCACCCCAGCTCCGGCAATGTGGAAAAAGTCGCGATAGGTCGCGACACGTCACGTGACGCGGCGAGTTTGACACCTGTGCTTTAAACAGTAATGTCCCTGTATATCTTTAAAATATATCCTGCTAAAGGAAATGTCTTATATGCTAAAGCTAGTGTTAAATCACAACCTATCTCCCCCCCAAGGCAACAATCCATATTGCCTAATTCAATGGTTTTCACAGTTTTACATTTTGATGGTGTGAGATGGCATGAAACCCAAATAAAAGTCATTCACTTGAAACTGTTCTACTTTATGAACTGGAAAAGGTCAAAGATATGCAACACTGAATCTTCATTACAGACTGATTGCTTATTTCAGGCACACGTTCACATTAGAGGCTACATGTGAATGAAAATGTATTTTTTTTTTAACTTGGTTTATGATGGAGGTGTTGACTGGAAGGCGGTCTCAGGCTAACAGAGCTGTGCTTTGAAAGGTACCGTGAATGATGAACTGTGTTCCACTGAAACGACGTTATTAGCTTTGGCAAGAAGTTTAAACAATTCAGCTATCTCTCCCATTTTGCCAACCATAAAGAAAATATTTGGGGAAAAAAATATGTGTTTAAACTGCAGAATAATAAAGCACCGAGCCCACAGTTCACTGGCAGGCATGCTTGTTGTTATAGAAGGTGTGCATATAATGGGGAGAGATAAACAGGAACAATGCCAAGTGGCTTTTTCAGCAGAGGTCTCTGTATTTTTGGGCTGCTGATTTGGCTCTCTCAGTTTTCTGCCAGGCTACCAAGTTCAAAACAAGCAGCTGGATCAGGGTTGTAAAGATACCTGTGAAGAAGATTCTAGGCCTTTATTACAATGTGCACATAAAACTTATTTTACACACACACTTTACAAAACAAGAGGAACCATTAAAGTCCAGATGGTGAATTAAATGTACCCCATGAGTTAATTTGTCTTTAGTAAGAGCATACTCAAAATGATATTTATTTACTTATTTGTTTAACAATGCTAATCGCCCAATTCCAGTCCAAATGGACTCTGGAGGAGATCTACCCAAGTCCAAAGATGTGCAATAAAAATGTATATGGATAACCAAAGTCAACAACAACCAAAGAAATCCAACAGCATCAAAGGCACAATTCAGTTAACAGAAGGGCTAAATCTACAAAGGAACAATGCTTTGACTTGTCGGAAAACCTATACAATATGAATTATCCATACTACTAAGATAAGATAAGATAAGATAATCTTTCTTGTCATTTTTATACTGTGGACACAACGGCACACATCAAAAATGAAATTTAGTTGCCTGCTCTCAAAGTGAAACACATACATGACACACACCTAAACATACTATGAACAACATATGTATAGACCCACATCCCTACATATATGTAGCAAATAAATATTAAATATTGTCCATCTTGAATATATAATGGAAGGAGGAAGCTTGAGAGTTCGCAAGGTTAATGCTGTATGGAATGAAACTCTGGCTGAATCTGGATGTTCTGCTTCGGATACCACGAAGCCCCCTCCTCCCAGAAGGTAACAAGGAAAACAGGTCGTGAAGAGGATGTGTAGTGTCCCAGATAATCTTACGGACCCTGCTCAAACAACGCTTCTGTGCTATGTCCTGGATGGGAGGGAGGGAACTGCCAATGATCTTTTCAGCCATTCTCACCACCCTCTGCCCTGCCTTCCTGTCTGAAGCAGTGATGCCTCCAAACCAGACTGTGATGCTGTATGACAGGATTTGCTCCTTTGTTTTTTTTATTTTATCACATTCTTTATGTTTTGTCAGCCCAAACAGGTAGACTAGACTAAGAAACAGCGACTGTGTAGACCAGGGGTGTCAAACTCGCTACATCACGTGACGTGTCGTGATGTATCACGATTTTTTTGCCATTGCTGGCAATGGGATAGGTGCGGTTTTGCTATGATGCATCCGGTCCACGGGCCGGCAGTTTGACACCCCTGGTGTAGACCTAAAGCTACTTTTGTTAGAATGGTTATAGTAACTGAATCTTGCAAGTCTAAATGTGCTTCCTTGCTCTGCTGTTTATCTTCATGCGAATTAGGAGAAAGCAAGCTGAGGCATTTTCCTTAGGTATTTTCTTGGCCTGGATTCAATATTCATTTATCTGATTGTTGCTTTGGTAATGCACATTTTCACTTTAGCTAAATTCCAGGATGAAAAACAGTCTTGGAGTCACAAAGAAAGTAAAACAGAAGGCAAAACTCTTGTCTCTGCTTTGTAGGCAAACGAACCAAGGCAAGTTTAATAAATAATTGTACCTCATTTGGTCTCACGTAGGCTTTTGTGTTTAGCAAAGTCTGATTACAAAAGGGCATTTAATTCTTGCTATACTACACAAAAAATTATAGCATTTTTATTTTATTTTTATTTATTAAAAATCCCATTAGCTGGAAAAAGTAAGATGATAGCATTCCTGTGAAACAAGAGATTTTTTTTTATTATGAAGGCAATTATAGGGCGTAAAATTCAAGTTACCAATATAATTTTAGAATGGTGAGAAATAATTAGCTGGTGCATGTGGCTCTGGTTTAATAATCCATTCTGCAACATATTGTCAGCTGTAGTAAATTCTTAGGAATCTACTTGACAAAGAAAATAGGCACCTGACAAAGAATATAAAAAATACAATAGTATTTGGATCAAGGGGTCAGTTGTAACACAACACATGTTATGGGCTCTCTGTTATCTTACCTGATTAGAAATGAGCCTTGCAAGCACATCCATACGAGATCCTGACTCTGAGATCATTTTAGCTGCATTAATCACATCTGAGGTATTCTTCAGTGGTCCTCTGCCCCTTTAATTAAAACAATATATATATTTATATAAATAAAAATGTAAATGTTCGTTTGTTCAAAATCTTAAATCTCCGAAAGTTCTTCACCGATTGCTTTGAAATTTTGACACAATGTTGCATTCGAATATGCACGTGTTTGTATATACCTACTATTATATAAATGTATAGATGTCACACCTGTAACAGGTAAAACATGCTTTTTTGAAAAACAGCGCCATCTGTTGGACGTAAAAGCAACACACGCTAGCATTGTGAAATTAAACATATTACAAACGTGCGCTTTCTCTTTTCTTTCTTTTCCATTTAACCAGACTGAGCCACAGCAACGTGTGGCCGGGTACAGCTAGTAATGAATATTAAACATCTGGTACAGTCTTAGAATAAATATGAGAATACAATTTCTTTTAGTCCTCTAAGAATGTCTCTGTCGCATTTGAAAACAGGACATGTATCTGCAAGGGCTGATGCCACAAAATCAAAGTAGAGGCTGCAACCAGGCGATCAGATTTTATCTATTGCATGTCTGATGGCTCTGATTCCCAAGGTGGCCTACAATCCATCTATAGCAGGGGTCTTCAAACTTGGGCCTTTTATGACTATGTGGACTTCAACTCCCAGAATTCCCCAGCCAGGCACGCTGGCTGAGGAATTCTGGGAGCTGAAGTCCACAAGTAATGCTTTAAATCAACTTCTAACAGGTAAATTAGCAAAGAATGGTACATGTTGTCTGGATGAACAGGAAATGAAGAGAATTATTATAACCACACACACTCATACACCTATAATGAAAACAAATAATTCAGATTGCTATGCAATCTTCTCTGAGCAATAACAATTGAAAGACATTTGGCAACCTTTCAACAAAATTTGCTGAGTTGCTAGAAAAGGAGACAAGCAACCTCTTCATCCAATCTTGCATGACTCTAAGACCAGAAGAGGTGTCATAAATTCAACACCCCCTCATGATCTAAACACACCTTACCTTTGAAAAGGGCATTGAAAGGACATGTGAATATTTCTATTTTCTTTAAGAGGCAAAGCCAAAGACATTCTCGAATGGGAATTTCAAATATTCCTTTTGAAAAGAAAGAAGGCAAAATACTAAATCTGCTTGTGATGTCAAAGGATAGCAAATAAGGTGGTGGTTTTTTTTGAGGGGGGAGTACAAGTCTCACTCAATATCTGCATCGAGCATTATTATGAAAAATTTGAAACTCATACTGCCTTACCAATTAAAATGGAAGTTTTATAAAATGATGTATCATTGATGTATGACACTAGAGAAATTGTCTAGAAGTATAACTTCAAATCACTGTTGAAAATGAGAACCAGATATATGGCAATGCAGAGAATTTTAAAAATGAATAATCAGAAGCAACTGGACCTTTGCTATAGAAAAAAGGGTTACTTGGTATGCATCCAGTATGCAATGTGGGAAATAGATTAGGACAGTGGTGGCGAACTTATGGCACGCGTGCCAGAGGCGGGACTCGGAGCCCTCTCTTTGGGCATATGTGCAGTTGCCCCAGCCTCGCCTCCCCCACGACCCCCTCACCAGCAGCCCCCCTGGAGGAGAGTTACCCCTGAGCGTAGCCCACGGGAAGCACCACAGCCAAGGACATGGCAGCCAGGCAGCATAGATAAGACTCTGCCCTCATGCCCCATCCTGCACAGTTGATACTGCGGGGTGCGGGCAGAGGGCGTGACCGCCATGGCACTGCTGGGCTGCCTGGGCGATCTGTGGCAGGCCCTGGAGGCGGTGAGTGGCCCTGCGGGCAGGCGGAGTGGGGGCAAGGCAGGGGTGGAGTAGGGGCAGGGCCAGGTTTTGGGCACTCAGTCTCTAAAAGGTTCGCCATCACTGGAATAGGACTTACGGAGAGTCAACTTAAAAAGGCTCATGGATATTGGCTTTATATATGGCAACTGCAGCAAGGTTATTATAAGCACAAAGATGGGAGGATATAGAAACACTTATAAGGAATGGATTGTGAAGATGGCAGACCTTGCAGAAATGGCTAAACTGATTTATTTGACAAAGGAGGGACAAAAAAATACTTTTAAAACAGAGTGGAAACCCTTATGGACTTTTTGCTGAAAATGGGTAAACATGAATTGATGGTTTCAGGCTTTATTGGTTAAAAATGTTTATGGGTAGAAGGGAATTAAAAGATATAATTTGGGAGGGAGGAAATGGTAATATCTCTGTTTGCATTGCTTCAAAGAAGGTAACAAGTCACTTCTTTAAATGTTTATTTTTCTTTCTCTTTTTGTTATCTTTCACTTTTTTACTTTTTCATATTTCTTTATTTTTTTCTACTTTTACTTTGGAAATAATAAGTTATGTAAAGCTTTCTTTTAGTAAAAATTATATCTTTAAAAAAATCTGTGTTGAGAGTGCATAGTCTTAAATCCCGGCAAATCAGTGATACCACTAATCCAGGGGTAGGCAACCTTGGCTCTTTTATGACTCGTGGACTTCAACTCCCAGAATTCCTGAGCCAGCAGGGCTCAGCTTGGAAACCTCTCCCTTTCCCCTCAGCATGGCTGGCTCAGGAATTCTGGGAGTTGAAGTCCACGAGTCATAAAAGAGCCAAGGTTGCCTACCCCTGCACTAATCCTTGCTTATGTCCAGAATTGATTAACTCCAAATTGAAGAGAAAAAAAGAAAAAATGTGGGGAGTTGCCCCTTCTCATGCCTTTTTTTTTTTTTTTTTTTTTAAAAGGTATTTTTAATAAATAACTGGTCTTCAAAGCACATTGAATTAAGGTTTGGTTTTAGCCATTCCTTTCATTCCCTCAGAGGAAAGAATTAATAATTTTCTTTTCTCTGCTGTGTTTAAAAGCAAACATTAGAACTTGAATTTCCAGCAGCCAATTTTTGCAATTACTTTGCTGAAAATAATCCTGTAAAATAAGTTTGGTTAGATCATTTCATTTTCAAACAAGCCTGTTTTTAAATTAGATAATTTACATGTCTTGAATTCAGTCCTTAGAATTGGGAATCATACTTAAAATAATTGTCTTAACAATACCCAACACATCTGGATTTCTCATAATTCTTCAAATCTCAAAGTTTTAGAATATAATTTAACCCAACATTAAGACCTTTAACATTAAACCATTTCCCATAAACGTTTTGTATATTCATGTTATTCCAGATACCAGTGGTTCACGAGACCAAATCATTTGAATCAATGACTGCTCAGATTGTTTATATCACCAACAAAGAAACTCTATGTCCATCTATTTTGAAGTGTCCGTAAACTCAAATTATTTTGGTGAATCAATTTTAATTTTAAATCCAGTGAAAACAATTTGATATTTTTAAGACCTGCAATCTTTGATATTCCATTATCTATTGTTCCACTTTTTTTGCCCATAACCTGTAAATGTGACTAATACCAACTTTGAAAATATCCTTTAGTTTTTGATACAAATACGGTGTGGATTTAGTTTTAGACATTAATTCCATCGGAATGAAAGCACCTCTGGTTTCCTAGAAGCAACCAGAGCTGCTGGTTCATGCAGAACTCTGAGACGTGCTTGAGTTGATTGTATTGTCACTGTGGAGAATTAGGTTGGCAATATTCCATCTGAAGTCTAGGAAAAAAACCTTGCAGCAATCATTGCAAAGTAATTGATTTTAAATTGATCCCAGATTTCACCTGGTTTTCAACAGGACATTTTTCGCTCTATTTTTAAAGTATAGTTCTTCTGTAGTTCAATATGCATGGGGCAGTTGATATCCCCAGGTCAGACAGATGTGCAACAATCCTACATTTGCATGCCTGAGGCCTCTTCCGTGTTTGCCATATTCCTCCAAGCACATGAGATGCCAGTAGTACAATCTTGTAATATGTCCCATCAGAAATACAGCTCTCCTATTTCATACGTAACATTTCATGAGTCAAGAAAGAAAAGATCTTTCAAACAATATCTGACATCACATCTTCTGCCTTCCTGAAAGCAATTGGCACCCACACAGTTGCTTTGGTGGTTCTGCCTTGCTGCTCAAAAGCTTGTGGAAGCAGCTTTATCAAATGATAACATAGGAAGAAGAATATTATGCTTTGCCACCCATTGCCAGCTGGAGAGAAAAGAGAGAAAAAAAAGCAATGAAGTGGACAGCTTAAAACTGTTAAGTTTGAAGCTGGGAAACCACAAAGGAAAGAATACTATTTTCCTTCAAATGTTGGATATGGGTGTAAATTGTTTGGCTTTCCGAAAATGGACACTTACTGAAAAACATAGCTTTGGAGCAGCGGTTCTCAACCTATGGGTCGCGACCCCATTTGGGGTCGATCGACCATTTCACGGGGGTCGCCAAGCAAGGCTGTCTGCCATTTTTTTTCCCCTTTTCTGGCGGGTGCCTTACCTCCCTTGAGCTGGGCCAGCTGGTGGTCGGCCTGCTCTGTCTCTGCCGCTTGCCAGCTACGCCTCGGCCGGCGCAGGGGGCGGAACCACGCATGCGCGGTGCTCCCAGGCAGGGAAAGTCCTCGACTTACAACCGGTTGGGTAGTCCTTGACTTATGACTGGTTTAGTCCTCGACATATGACAGGTTTAGTCCTCGACTTACGACCGGTTGGGGGTCGCGGCATTAAAAAGATTGAGAACCACTGCTTTGGAGGCATTCTAGGGTTCTATCCAAAGTAAGGCTCAGCCTTTGAAAGGAATGGGTTAGTGCTGAGATTTCAATTCAGTAAAAGTAGCCACTTATAAAATGAGCCAGTATCAAAGCTGACTCACTTTTATCATTGCCTGCATCAACTTCCAGCTCAGAGTTTGCCAAAAAGAAACGGGAGGGGGGTTGGTAAATACCCAGGGAGGGGGGGAGGGATAAGGAATGTATGAGAGCCTTCTGCCACTGGAGAGCAACTAACCGCCAAGGCCAAGTTCTCTGGCGCTACCAGCCGGCACAGACTGTTTTCCCAAAACAAAAGTATTGTGTGTAATTGGTGGACAATGAATTGTGGGTGGCCCATGGATTTTCACCTATGAG